ATAAACAGAGCTGAACAAAACACAGTTTGACATCTTCAAAGCACTATTGAGCACAGCAGCTACTGCCAGTTTATGCATGCAGCATTTTCCTGTGATGTGTGGCTTTATGCGATTGTGTGGTGAGTGGTCAAGCTTCAAAGGGAAATACGATTCCTCATTTCATTCAGCTCCTGAAGTCTTCGGTGCTTTGTAGAAAGCTAGATTTGCTTTTTAGTTTCACTTAAGAAATTGAACTGGGAATATTTAAACAATTCCCAGTTCAAAGTTTCTTGCTCAGTTAAAAGGCTTGGCTGCATGTGAAACACTGAGTTTGGTGGCTATGAAAATGGAAGAACTTGCAGTTTTCTTTGTGGCACCTGACCAATTTTCAAACTAAGTGTGGATACCAGACATTGACACAATAATTTCTCCCTACCTCTCTCTTGCTATTTGATATTCCCCTACTTATATATCTCCCAGGATCATGTTTGCTGCCTTAGCTACAGCTTTGCACTTGTCGCTCATGTTCAACTACTGCGTATGCTGGGGCACTGGAACATGGGAGGTCTAAAATATGGCTCTACTATTGACTTGCTGAGATTTTATCTTGAGCATGTTTGTCTGGTTCTCCATCTGTAACATAAGAATACATGCAATACCTCAAAAGGGTGTTATGACGATTAATCTGTTAACATTTTACAGGGCTTTGAGAATGCAGTGTAATGCAAACCCAGGTATTCTTACTCAACTTTTTAGTGCTCTTGTATTCCTTTTTCAATTTTTTTAAAATGCGTATTAAAAGCATCTCAAGTCAAACTACTGACATGCACTTGTGCACTGACATCAAAATGACACCATGTAAGGCCACAATTACTGTACTCTAAAGGAGGCCTCTGATTAGAACCAAAGAAAGGAAGAATGGTCCAGTGGTTAGGATAAGATCTGCTTTGCCACAGATTTACAATTAACTTTGGCAAATCACTTTCTCTCTTTAGGTCTCATTTCCCTATCTACAAAACAGTAATAGGGAAGAATTATCTCACAGAAGTGTTCCAAGGAAAAACACTTTAGAGACTGTGAGGTGCTGAAATACTATGACCACAGGGGAAATAAAGCCAATGAATGAGAACAAAGTATTAACAATAAAATCAACCCAAAAGCTTCTATTGTACAACAGAATATTTTATTACTAACAAAACAAATATATAAGTTTCCGGTTTACAAACAGGCGACTAAAAGAAAGAAGAATATTTAGTATTGCTTCAGAGGATATTTCAGACTTTTCTTGTTCTTTTTCAACAGCAAGAATATTGTGCGCTAAAAATGAACAGCTTATTTAAAGCAATAAATTACGAATGATAAAATGCAGAAGACATAATACTACAAACATATTCAAATTTCAATATACAGTAGATAAAACAAGTAACTTTGGTTTATCAGAACTACAAATTCTTATTCAATCAGTATTTATATGACCTTTCTTTTGTATGCGAATTTGCTTGAGTGTTCAAACCACCACTCAAAATAGCTGTTCAAAATGGAATGTAATAGCATCACTATCAGATCAAAGTGCATGTGTCACATTAAAAGCCCTCGTTACCAATAAGGCAAAATGCAGAAGATCCCTATATAATGCATCAACGTTAGTGTTACAGATGGAAGGTGAAATTGTGGCTTCACTGAACTCAACAGCAAAACTCCCATTGACTTCACTAGAGATAGAATTTCACTCAAAGGACCTGTCCTGCAACCTTTATCCATTCTAGTGGTCTTACTCACATGATATGTTCCACTGAAAACAATGGACTGACCCTTCAATAAAAAAGATTACGATCTGGGGAATTGGGCCCTAATAACAAAAAAAAAATCTAAATAAAATCTAGCATTCCTGTATATACAGACAGACCATTACAGCATGTAAAAATTATGGCATGTGGAAAATGCATTACTTTCCTGTTCTAAGTAGGGTTGCCAGGTGCCCGGTATTGAACTGGACACTTTGGTATTTTCGCCTCCTGTCCAGTAAAAAAAAAAGAAAATTCAGAAAATACCGGACACCTAAAATGTCTGGTACTTTCTTATTTTTTCCTGGCCAGGAGGCAAATCCTGGGTTGTCCGGCTCAATACGGAGGCAGCCTGGCAACCCTAGTGCTTATCGGGTTCACAGGCAAGCTGTCCAGCCCCACACAAGGAGGCAAGATGGCGGGCGGCTGCCAGCAGTCTGTTAGGGCCAAAAAGCCTCACCACACATTTCTTAAAAGGGCTACGCTGGGTGTGTTGGCTTTTTTCGGTATTTTTTCTGAAACCATCTGGCAACCCTAGTTTTAAGTGAAAACCTCATCAGATGAATTTGCACTTTAATATCCAGGAGTTTATTTTTCTTCAAGGTCATAGTTCTCCACAGAGAAACTTTAACATACTGGATTTTAGAAAAATGTGCTTCAGAACGTGCTGTTCTTGTGTACTTAAGAGCTTTGTTGTGCCTCCTCACTGGAGGTTAGTGGAACACCACCACAGAAGAACCTCCGGGAAGCATCCTTTCTGAAGTGGAGCTGCACCTCGTGCACAATTCTTGTACAGAATGCACAAGGCTGCATCTTTTTGGAAAGAACAGTGAACAAGTCAGGCACAGTTCTACCTCAGCCTCTTCTCAGCCCCATCTCTTTGCACTGATGCTGACACTAATTTCTCCCAGTCCTGGTTTCCCTTAGCTCAGTCCTTGTGTAGTGATAGCAAGAGATTTTTAAACTACTCTATTCTGGTTTTTTTCAGCACAACAATTCAGGAATCATTTTGCCACCATTAGCTGAAAATAAGGAAAAATAATTAGATAAGATTAACTAAATTGGCAGGAAAATAGAATTGGATTGTGTTCATGCACACGGAAAGAGTAAGGTAATTTTTTATAGTTTGGTATATATGGAATATTGGCATGCACCCAAGTAAAAAAAACAGAGTATGCTCCAAAAAGAAGCAGGCAAAAGATCACCTAAGCATGTTCAGAATAAATATGGGACAACGGTTACAGACCATAAAAGTAAACAGCCCATAATATTCAGTATAAACCATAATCAGAAGTAGTAAATAACAATAACTCAGCAAACACTTATGATTGGATTATATAAAGAAAAGAGTGAAAAAGTAGCCAATAGAATGAGCATCTGATAGCTGGCAGAAATCAATAAAAGGCAGGATTCCAGAGGAAGAAAGAGGTATGAGGTAGAGTTGAAAAGTTATTAGAATAAAAGGTTTGTCTTGTAAGTAGTTTATGGGTTTTGTGGCAGAACAAGAAAACAATAGCAGCAGCAACATCTTCAGCAGCAACAGTATAGCTGTGACAGAAAGAACCTCTGCCCCTCAGAAGGAAAAGCGCCAACAGAACAACAGAGTAAGTTTACTAGCTATATTATAAAATAACAATAGTAATGTTGTTTGAATACATGTGTTTGAGTTATTAATAAAGATGAGTGTGTCATGAGTATTAGGTTAATGTATGAAATCTATGGTATAGAGACTGCTGTCAGCAAACTATAAGGGACTGATCACATGCAAAGCAGTCATTCAATATTGCTCTAACAACTATGTTATCATAGTTCAGATGCTTTTAGCCTATACCCAAGGACTGTGCCAATAAAAGGGATTTATGTTTAGATTATTGTAACAGGTAATATAATTTATGGTAAATAAAATATACTTTTGTTTTAGAAAATATAGTTGCTGAGTGTCAATCAATTGCAACTGAAGGCCCTATCCATGTCCTCCCAGGGATTATAGGTCTAAGCTGTTCTAGGGAGTCTCTTGAAGAGAACTCCTAATTAAACCCAAGTAGTTCCTCTAGGGCAGGGCTCCTTTTTACCTTGCAGAAATATATTAATATAGGCCTGGGCAAAATTCAGTCTGCGAGGCAGATCCGACTCACCAAGCCACCAGATCTGGCCCACAGATGCTGTAGGGAGTCCCTGGTATGCTCCTCATTTCTCGCACCCTTCCCGCACGCCACTCAGAAACACGGCTACGGGGCGGTTTTTCTTTAAAAACAGAGTCCAGAGGGGAGGGAGGAAAGCTTTAGGAGCTGCTCCCGCCCCCAGCACAATCCTCATTGGCCAGTTTCTGGCCAGAAACTGGCCAGTGGGAGCTGCCTGTTTCAATAACAGACAGCAGTGAAGCACAAGGGGCTCCAGAACACATGGCTACAGCCTGTGCTGGGGCAGAGCAAGCAGCCACTGTTCCCTCTGCTCAGCAGCACAGGTGATTAATCAGCCCTGCCCAGTCAGAGGCTCAGGGTTCCATGCATGGAGCTGACTAACTGGGCGGGGCTGATTAATCACACAGCTTAGAGGGAACACTGGCTGGCAGGGAGGCTGATTCAGAAACGGGCTTCTGTCTAATAAGTCTCTTGGCCTGACCTGGTCTCTGACACCTAGTGTTGCCAGGAGTCCGGGATTGCCTGGCTCCACTTACCCAAATCCTCTGCCCTCCCTCCTTCACCCATAACCCCTCCCAGATCTGACACCTCAACTCTGTCCCAGATCATAATCCCCTCTGCCCTAGCTCACAACCCAAATCCCTGTTACCCCTGCTATATTCGAATTCTCTGCCCTAGGTCACAATCTAAACCCCTATACCTCAGTCCAGTGCTCCAGGTCACAACTGCCTCCTTCAGCCAAACTCGCTCCCTTCTGCACCCAACCTCCATCCCAGACCCCGCACTTCCTATATTAATATCATGGAAGTGTGCAGCCCTTGACTACTTTCCAAATGCTTGGAGTAATCCCCCCCCCCATCCAAAAATTATTGCCCACTCCTGGATTAATAAATTTGTAGCTTACCTTGAAAGGTACCTTAGTAAACCTGGGAGAGGGAGAAGAGAGTTGCAACTATACTGCACCCTTAGCTAGAAATAAGCTACACAATTAGAGCTACGCAAATTGTGTAGCTTCTATTTTGAAATACACTCAAAATAGCTTATGTTATTATGAAATATGGTGCTGTCTACATGGTGCCAAATTTCTAAATAAACCACAATTCCAAAATGTCCCTCAATCCTTGTGGAATGAGGTTTACAGGGACATTGGAAAAGCAAGACCATTATTTTGAAAACTATTTCAAAATAATGGGCTTGTTTAAAAGACAAAATAGCGCCGCTATCTAGATGCGCCCAAGATGAGCTAATCTGTGGGTAACCTCAGTCTGTTTTGGGGTAAAAGGTGTCTTTCCTCTCTCATTTGTGGAGTGCCCAGACACAATTTTGCCCTAAATGTGGAGGCTATATTAGTGCTTATGTTATCCCATACTAACTATTTGCTCAGAAGGAAATGATGTCATTTGATCAGCACAATATTGTTGACCTTACTGGTACTTGAAGGAAGTACCATAATTATGAGATTTGTTCAACATAAACAAAACAGTAGTTCTTAATTCTGAGCTTATAAAAATAACTTATTTTACAAGATTAATTTTAACTACAAATCATTAAAATTTCAGTCAGTCATTTTCAAATTCAGTGTAGAAACTACCATAATACAATGCTAAAATTAGTACATATATACATCAAATGCATCCATAGATTTGTGCAATTTCTAATTATTCTAAATGATGCAGCTGTTTAAGATGTAGTTACTTTAAAAAGAAAAATAAATGTTAATAGGAAGATTGAAAGACATCCATGAAACAAATTAAATATTTTTGCTTCAAAATAACACAATGGTCTTTGATACATTTTTAATGTATTTTAACAGCATGTTCAGGTATGGGAAAAGAAAAAAACTATTTCTTTTTCTCTTAAATTGCTGGTGACTGGTCCAGTTGAGTGCTATTAGAACTTCAGTTTCCATTATTCTCTTATGAGGTTAAACCCAATGCAGCTTAATGGTTAAGTGCAAAACAAGGGATATGAATCTGGTATTTTTATAAGGCACATAGCATCACTAACTTCCAGTGTAATACAAACCCACGACAGTTTCATAGACTGAAATAATTCATGTAGAAATTCTGATCTTTCATGGATTTAAACTGTTTCCAGAATCCTGATCTTTTCTAGTATTTGAAGCTGAGTGGACAAGCATTGATATGGAGTCTCTGGTACTGTCTGGTTGTGAAACATTGGGTAGCTGAGAATTACTGACTTGCAATGGCTGAGTTTCAGTAAAATCGCTTTTAGGAGACACCCTATATAAATTACAAACAAAAACAAAACACACTGAAGTACTTCTAACCATATGATATTTTAGACTAACACAAACTCATTTAGCAACAAAATGATAATATACATTGAAACAACAACACTCTTTTAAAGAGACAATAATAGAGTTCTGAATACTCTTTCCTTGGCTGTTTAATAGGCCTTTCTGTCCCTGAATTCAAAGGGTCACCACTAATGATCAGCCACCCATTTCCCTGTCCAATGCTTGACAAGAATACTTTTCACAGTCTGTCAGTGCTGTTCCTTTATTGGCCTTACAGGTTACCGTTCAGCAATATAAGTAGAGCCCTACCAAATTCATGGTCCATTCTGGTCAATTTCTCGGCCACAGGATTGTTCAGCAATATAAGTAGAGCCCTACTAAATTCATGGTCCATTCTGGTCAATTTCTCGGCCACAGGATTTGAAAATTTGGTAAATTTTACCTTTTCAAATGTTTAAATCTGAAATTCCATGGTGTTGTAACTAAGGGGGTCCTGACCCAAAAGAGTTTTATGGCAGGTCACAAACTTGTTGTAGAGGGAGGGGAGTCATAGGATTGCTACCCTTATGACTGTGCTACCTTCAGAGTTGGTTTCTGAAGTCAGTAATCACGGAGCTTCCTGCAGCAGCAGGTGGCTTATGGAGCTGGAGGTAGATCTGATCTCCCATTTGCTGCTGGAAATATCCCACCTGGGGCCTCCTAGCTGTGAGCATCAGCTGGGCTGAAGAGAGACAGGACTTGGCCTTTCCCCACATGGTTACTCTTGGGAGAAGGTTGGACTCACCTCCACAAGCTTCCTCCAGTTGCAGGAACCTCTGGGGCTTACTGCGCAGGTCCAGAGAGTCCTGCAGCAGGGAGAGGCACTCCAAGGTGGGTCTGATAAGCCCCCAAGTCTGACCACTTAAGGGAAAGATAAGTCCCGTCTCTCCCCAACTTGGTTCCAGCTAGGAGCTACTAGATAGGGTGCTTCCAGCAGCACGGGAGAGATCATACAAGGGGAAGGGCTTCACAGTCCATGATACATTTTTCATGGCTGTGAAATTAGCAGGGCCCTAAACATAAGGTACATCCTATCCCAAGAGCCAAAAGCTCTACTACTTCAAACCTCTGCTGGAAAGGTCATGTGGAAAGTAGTTTATAAGAATTGCTTTCTCTTTGCAACTATTTTTAGTTACTGAATCTTTTTTCAAAGAAAAGGATACAAAAATATATCATTGTATTGGTAGTTTGTACACATCAGAAAACTCAAGTCCAAAATTAGATAAAAAATAAGAATATCTTACCTTCCTTCACCCATTCTTCTCATACTCTCAGATAAGCTAATCATATCATACATGTTGTCTGTCTTGCTGCTCTTCTCCAGCTGTTCCATAGCCAGTTTAGAAATAGATATTTGTAGTACATGTTCACCACCAATATTCTCCTCCTCCACTTTTTGGGTCGATGTTCTAGCTTCCTCCATTTCTCTCTCAGATGTTTCTCGCGATGTTTTTATTTCTGTGACATTCTCTTGACTTAAGTAATTGTAATTAGTAATAGCCACTGCAGAAGTTCCATGATTTGTTGTAGCACCTGTACTAGTCCCCATAGACTTAGAAATAACTTTCAGTTTGTGTGAACTGGATTTGTAGTGCTTCTTTTTATGTTTAGCTTTAGAATTGTGCTTCAAGAAAAATTCACATGATTCTTGCAATACTCTTCGGCTCTCACTGATTGGACTGAAAAAATAAACAAAAGCATATGACTAGTTCATCAAAAATCACTTAGGCCATGTCTACACTACAGACAAGATCGAAGCAGCTGATCTTCCAGGGTTCGAATTAGAGAGTCTAGTGAAGATATGCTAATTTGAACTGAGAGGGCACTCCCGTCGATGCCGGTAGTCCTGCTTTTATGACGAATAAGGGAAGTCGAAGGGATAGTATGCTCCCTTCGACTTCCCGCGGTGTGGACAGCACCAAAATTCGAGTTAAGATACTTCGACTTAAGCTATGCAATTAAAATAGCTGATGTTGCAAATCTTAATTTAAACTTATCCCCGGGGTAAAAGACAGCAGAAGATTGCTTCTTATTTCAAAATATTACAGAAGTAACAAAGGGGTGATCTAATGTAACAAACATGGCTCTAATGCTAATCAACACTGACGAAATGATAACCTCTGATGACTGGGCGGAAATGTGGAAGAAGTGGCTACTAAGTAATTTATGTGTATGAGGCAATTAAATTTTATAACAGAAGAGCCAAATCAAACATGCCTCACTCTTGCAAATAGTTCCAACAACTTGAATGTGACTAACCTTGTAACAAAGAAGAGCAGGATCAGCTTATAGGTAGCTATGTCATCAAGTTACGTTTTCTTAAACCAAACTTTATTAAAGTGAAAAAAAGGTAAGTAGTATAAAATGGAAAACATTTTTTAAATCGCTTAGCTGAAAGTAATTTACAGTTGAAATGTAAGAAGGACTTACACAGGAAATGGAAAAGTAGGGAGGTGGAAAGGAAGCTATAAGCTCACCATCCAGGAATGCAGATTTTAAATAAAAGGAGCTAAAGGAAACTCAAAGTAATGTTGGCTAGGCAAGTTCAAGGAAATAAAAGTTCTAAAAATACATCCACAGTTTAGGAAGAATATAGGAAACCTGAAGAAAAATGAATTAGAGGAAAAAGAAAAGGATACCATAATTACAAGGGACGGGACCTATACTTATAGTCTCCTTGTATCAAAAAGGATATAGTCTATGTATCTCCCACATAAGAGAACTCTAGGTAAATTTAAATAGAGTAATGGAATTACTCTTGTGCAGAAGAAACAGTGATCTGAAACAACAGAAGAAAAAGAAAGGCAGGACATTACAAATAGTAAGAGAATTAGGGCAGCAGAGTAAGCTACCAAGAACAGTGGCAGAGGGACTATCACTGCATGATACAGTAAAAGTATCAGTGCAAATGATGTAAGTAGCAAACCTGCAAAATGAAAGCAGTCTGACTGGATAGGCCAAACAGTCTTTCCTGATTTGACTGAAAGTCAGAGCCATATTAGTCAGTGTTAAAAAGCAACAACATTTCTTTTGCTCAATTAAAAGAACCATGTCAGCAGGGAAGTACATTTTAGGGCCCAATCAGGTAGTCATAATACATGAACTGACTCCATTTTACCTATCTCCAACTGCAAAAACTTGCCTATATTACCTCACATATATTTAACGGAACATATGTACAAATACAATACTTTTTTTAAACTTATCAGTACCACATACAAAGAGTTGCTCTTACTCTCTCTTGCGACTTCTGTTGAAAAAACTGGCCCATTCAGAACAGGTCTTTTTACTTCCCACCCAGAAGACTGGAGAGATGCCAACAATTAGTGTCATCAGGTACTTCACCAGAAATAAAAATATTTCTGGTCTAGCTAATGTCTTTGCCTAGAAGATAACAAAATGTAATAAAGACACACACACACTTTTGACAAAGTGCAGAAAATGAACAGAAACCATGTACAAGAGCATACTGAGGTCTTTCTATTTTATAGCAGCTTTGCTGCACTCAAAAGTACACTATGGCATGAACTAAAATATTCACAATCAAGTCAGATCTGGTTAATCTTTGCTTGCGGAGATGTAGCTGATGGCTGGTGATGCAGAAGGGGAGCATTTTTTTAAAAACTGGAAAAAAAGATTAATTAAAGGGGAGAACAGTATCATTAAGCAGTTTCTCCACCACTCGTATATTTGGGAGCTTCCTCTGGATACAGAGGAAATAATGGAGAGTTGAGAGGAGAGTAGTATTAATTGAATGAATTGGGTTCTTGAGAGAGCTTCAGGACAGTATACAACTGTTTTTTGCTGTTTATTGCAAAATTAACCCACTTGTGTGTAAAAGGGGATGACAGTTGCTGAGATTTAATTCATTAAATGGTTATTTAAGTTCCTCTCCCATCCTCCAAATGTAATGTTATTTTGATTAATCCATTTGTCTCTGTATCCTGGACTTCAAAGTGCTAGTCATTCTAGCTAGGAACCCGTAATTGTTGAGATAAAGTTTTTGTTTTGTTTTTAAATAATCAGTGTAAAAAGTGAAGCCACTTGTAGTTAATAGGTTTTGTCACTGGAAAACAAAGTACAACACAAGGAACAGATCCAATTGTAATATTTCTTGGGATAATATTTGTTTGATTGCATATGTTTGTTCTGTTTCTAAATAATCCTTGAGAATGATGTGATTAATTTCTTACTTGTGCTGCTATATTTAAGCACAGCAAGGCAAATTTGCTGATCTTCCTTATTTTGGAGGGTTTAAATTGAAAAGATTTAAGTTGAAATCTCCTGTATCCACTGAAGACAGAGGATGTTTTGCCATTGATTTTAAATGGGAGCAAAAATAAGTATTAAGGGTCCAGTCCTATGAAAGGCTATCCTCTTAACTCTCATTGACTTCAATAAGAGTAGAGGGTCTTCAGAAACTTGCAGGATGAAGCCCTAATGTTCTAAGAAAGTTGTGTTTCTTTGTTTTTATGGTAGTTCGTTGCAGTACAAACTTTTACGGTGGGATGCAAGGCAAATTAAGTTCATAATCTGACAAGAAAAATTAACAATTCTTTACTGTTATTTCCTTTTTAAACACCAGCTCAAATATAGGGAGGCATAGACCAAAAATTATTTGAGATGACAGAGAAGTGAATGTATTAGAAACAAAATGTAATCCATAGAGAGTACTATGTATGTGAAGTTAGTATGCATATTAAAGCCTTTTAAAGACTTTAATCTCAAATCACATTTTGAATTTGAACATCTCAGCAAGTAATATACATATTTTTAAAATTTCTAAAACTTTAATTCACATTACCAAAATTCAGCTTGCAAACATGCAAAGTTGTGAGAAATAAAGAGTGAAAAAACTCAGTATTTTGTACTTGTACAATTTAAGAAAAGACAAAAATTATTTTAATCAAATCTGGCTTTGACTAAGGTGTTCTAATTTGAATGGCTAATTTAATCCATAATTAGGTATGGATTTCAAGGCAGCTTTATTGTCAGAAATACAGAATAACTTGAGGCACGCATTTGAAAATTTGGAAGAGCAGTTTTCATGAATAGCTTTTATCAGGGCTCGACAAATAATACAATCTACTCGCCTATGGCGAGTAGATTGCAACCCCAAAGAGCCGGGTTCAGGCGATCTGCGCATGCACAGATTGCCAGACAGCGCGGCTGGTGAGCAGGGCTCACTGAGGTTCAGCGAGCCCTGGCTATTATGTACAGTAAAACTCCAATTGTCCGGCATCCAGTGGTCCGGCACTCCTGATAGTCCGGCAACAACTGGAACCTGGAAGTGCTCTAGCCAGCCAGACAATTGGAGCTGCTCTGCCCCCAGCTTCCCCAAGTCCGCTGCTGGTCAGTTTCAGCAGTGGTGGACTTGGGGAAGCCCTGGGTCAGAGCACTCCAGGTGAGGGGCAGCGCTATGGGACCAACCCGGCAGCACCCAGCTGCTCTGGCCATCAGCCACTGCTGAAACTGACCAGCGGCTGACTTGGGGAATCCGGGGGCAGAGCAGCTGGAGTGCTGCCGGGTTGGTCCTGCAACACTGCCCTCTCCCATGTTGCGCAGTTCCCCGCCGCCCCCCGCCCCTCCAGACCCTTCATAGCCCCCCTTCCAGTACTCCGGCATATCTGATAATCCGGCACCCCCTGGGTCCTAAAGGTGCTGGATTATCGGAAGTTTACTGTACAAAGTTTCCTTCATTAACAGTTTCTTTATGATTAAGTCCAAATAACTTAATTAAAAATTCTAACTCATGACTAACATGATTTTAAGTATCAGGTGCTACCAACCTTATTAGCAGGAGATTTCAATAGAAATACTGGTTCAGCCTATTTATTTAAATGTTTTATGGGTCTGTAAATATTATATTGTGTTGTGCTTCGTTGGTTTGCTTAGCTTAGCTTACGGTTTACCCACTAAATGTTACACAGTGAATCTCAGTAAGTCTTTTTAATGTGAACATTACATTATGAAGTATACAAAACATTACTCCTTACCTCATAAGGGCAGGGAATATGGTACTGAGCACAATGGTCAAAAACCCATGTGGTCTCCCAGATTCTCCTATACATCTGCTCATAAACATAACATCCAAGAAGTGCCACCAGTGGTACCAGGTATAAGCCACTGAAGACTCCAATTCGAATCATAAACTTCTTTAGCTTCTCTTGGTTTCTACCATCATGCTGTATGACTTGCCGAACATGATTTAAAGAAATAATTCCAGCTAAAAGGAGAGAGAGACCAACAAAAACACAAAAGCACAAAGGCAGAAGGACAAAGTATCGAGATGCATCCAGGTCATAGAGACCAACAAAGCAAACTCCACTGATATTGTCCCCTTCAACTTTGTTCATGGCAAGAAGCATAATGGTGAGAAAACCAGGTATGCCCCATGCAACTGCATGGAACCACATTGCCTTTTGTTCAATAGCTTCACAGCTCCATTTTCTTCCAGCTGCTAAGAACCAAGTGATCGTAAGAATCACCCACCATATAGTTCCTGCCATAGTAAAAAAATACAAAACCATAAAAAGGACAGTGCAGGCTTTGTTTTGAGAGCCAAGAACAACTGTTTCACCAATTTCTAACTTTTTATCTGCCTTGTTACAAGCACTTCTATTTCCCAGCAAAAATCCAATGAAGTACATCAGAGATACTATACTGTAACAGACTGAATAATATATGATTGGCCTCTCTGGGTACCTGAACCTTTTAACATCAATCAGAAAAGTCAGGAATGTGAACAGAGTAGCACAAAGGCAAAAAATTGAAACTATTCCAATGAAGCTTTTGGCAACATCCAGTTCATAATTTTTGAAATACATATTGGGACATGGGGGTGCACAGTGATCAATTCCCAAAAATTTGTAGCTTTGTCCATTAGAGGTTTGCAGATGCCGTGGACACCAAAATCCATAATCCCTTCGAGCCTGCCTTGGGGTCTTGTGTGTTCCATGGACCTTTGTGGTTACACCAGCAGTGACAGGAGCAGTTTCATCACAATCCTCCAGTCTACACAGATTAAGAAAAGTGAGTGTACATTAATACTCTTTCACTGTCACCCTTATTTTACTGCTATTCTTCCTAAGTGTGAAAAAGCCATTTCAGAGGGTATGTCTACACTACCCTCCTAATTCGAACTAGGAGGGTAATGTAGGCATACCGCACTTGCAAATGAAGCCCGGGATTTGAATTTCCCGGGCTTCATTTGCATAAACCGGGCGCCACCATTTTTAAATCCCGGCTCGTTTGAACCCCGTGCCGCGCGGCTACAGGCGGCACGGAGTAGCTAGTTCGGATTAGGCTTCCTAATCCGAACTAGCTGTACTCCTCGTGAAATGAGGAGTAACGGTAGTTCGGATTAAATCCGAACTAGCTACTCCGTGCCGCGTGTAGCCGCGCGGCACGGGGTTCGAACTGCCAGCATTTAAAAATGGCGCCGGCCAGCTTCATGCAAATGAAGCCCGGGAAATTCAAATCCCGGGCTTCATTTGCAAGTGCGGTATGCCTACATTACCCTCCTAGTTCAAATTAGGAGGGTAGTGTAGACATACCCTAAGTGATATATTTTTATACATGTTCCAAAACTTAGTTTATGAAAACAAAGTCAGGTTTCATTTACAAAAACTTTTACTGTAGCTAAATAAAATCTTTAATCTTTAAGTTTAGAAGAACATCTGAACACAAATTATTTAATTTGTAGATTTTTATATCTCGTTGACAAATTAATGTTTGAGAAATAATGCAAGCTTCAAACCACATAAAGATGACAAAGTGTTGAACATCTAGAATATACAGTTAGAAATATCACTGCTTTCATTGTCAGCAATTAAAAATTGGCCAATAGTGGTTTGATTGTGTTTCAAATCACCTACTCTCAAAAGGCTCTCTTCCCAGGGTATCCAATGTCTCCACACTTCTTCCTGCTCCTGTTGTTCTCAGTCTGTAAGGCCCCTTACTGTGCTAATTAATTTGAAATCAAGACATCAAGATGATGAGATGAAAGAAGGGCTAAATCATTCAGGCCAGTGGGAATTTAGAGCATTTTGTGGAAGTCCCAGAGTAAGAGCCATGTAAAATCCATTCAAAAAGGAAGAGGCTCATTACTATAAATGGATGGATGATCTTTTAATATTCGATCTGCCATCACTAATGGATCTGCTTGGTTTCATATCAGTTGATAGCACTTTGCCACAGGGGAAAACGTTCAACAGATGCAGTCAGATGGTGAGGACTATCTGTCATAAAACTTTAGAGGGGTAGCCAAATTACTCTGTAACAGGAAAAACTTAAAAAATAACAAATAGTCTAGTAGTACTGTGACGGGGCAGTGCCCGCGCCCACACCCTGCACGTCCCTGGTGTGCTGGGGAGAAGCAGCAGTCCCGTGCCGGTTTCAGCCCTGTGCGGCTTGCTCCGCCGCGGGCGGGGGCAGAGCCCGGGGTGCGGGCTGGCTGGGTATCCCCGGCCCCAGCAGGACAGGGAGACCTTGGAGCCGGCGATCCGTTGCGGCCCGGGACGGCGCAGGC